ATGGATGGATGGATTTATGGATGGATGGATGGATGGATGGATGGATGAATGGATGGATGGATGGATGGATGGATGATGGATGGATGGATGGATGGATGGATGGATGGATGCTTTTAAATTTTGCATAAATGTTACTTCAGGATTTCTTAAATTAAATTTAGTTTACAGCTGTTCTACAAAGTTCAGTCAGGTCCTCTGGACTGTTTTTTTTTTTTTTTGTTGAGCCATTTCATCTTTCATCCAAAGGTCTTTATCAGTCCAAGGAGCCACAACAAACTCAGTCCCACGAGCAACACAACCACATAGTGCACTAACCAGGTTGCTGGTGATAAGATGGTTTCTGGGGCATGCCCTCTCCTCGTCAACTCATCTGAGGCAGCCATACCCAAAGTGATTCAAAACACCAAAGTTCATGCTCAATAATCCAGGTAGAAAATCCAACAAAGTTCAGTCAGGTCCTCTGGACGGTTTCTTTATTTGTTGAGATGTTTTGTCCTTCATCCAAAGGACTTCATCAGTCCTTGAGGCTGCAGTAATATACAGTATTGAGAGAAAACTTAATAACATTATTGCAAAAGACTTTGTAAATCTATATAAATTATAATAATAATTCATAAATGGGGGAGTGGTGGCGCAGAGGTTAGAAGATGGGCCTATGATCAGAAAGTCGCAGGTTCAACTCCCGGTACTCTCAACATCAAAATGTGGGTGGAAAGGGTGGAACACCCACACCTCCTTCCACCCTCATTCGCCCCACTCTGGGCCCTTGAGCAAGGCCATTAACCCCCACCATCTGCTCCCTAAACAGGTCTCTCCTGAAAATTAGTTCTCATGGCTCAATGAGACTACCTGTATAAATAAAGGGTAAATGAAAAAAAAAAAAGAAAAATCCAAGATTCATGAAATCCTAAAAGAAATCGTCCAGATGACCTGACTAAACATTATTGGATTTTACACCTGGATTATTGAGCATGAACTTTTATGTTTTGAACCACTTTGGCTATGGCTGCCTCAGAGGAGTCGATGGGGAGAGGGCGGGCCCCAGAAACCATCTTATCACCAGCAAACTGGTTGGCCCACTATGTGGTTGTGCTGCTTGTGGGACTCAGTTTGTTGTGGCTCCTCAGCTTGAAGAAGTCCTTTGGATGAAGGACGAAGCATCTCAACAAAAAAAGAAAACATCCAGATTACCTGACTGAACATTGTTGGATTTTCTACATGGATTATTGAGCATGAACTTTGATGTTTACAGATGTTGTTGCTTTGAAGCATTATATCCGTTGGCTTTGGACTTAATTGTGCATAAGATCAGTGGTGTTAAAGAAATCAGCACCAACTTAGAAAGGGAGAATGTAAATAACGCAGCTCTAAAATTAGTCCGGGTAAATTGGATAAAGCATCGCAAACACGAAAGAAAAACAGGCACTATTTGTGTTCGAAATCAGCTGCCAATTCTTCCACAGTCAATTAGAATAATTATGCTGAACCTCAGAAAAAGAGAAATTGCTGCTGATTGACGTTCTGGAGCTGGCAGAGAAGAAAAGACTCATCTTACAAGTTAGGGTAAAGTGGTGAGCTGCAGAAACCTTTGTGTCAATTTGTAACGCTAGAGTAGAAAAAGCAAGTTTTCATCTCTCCACTTAATCAGCATCAACAGGCTCTCCCATCAGCAGTGAAGCTTAAGACATTAGCTGTTAAGGCTGATGCCAAAGTGGCTAAAACAACTGGCAATATGTCATCAGCACATCTCTGTTTATGTTCCACCAGGGTCTCTTATGGTTATCACAGCCAAGGATCACTCTTTACCCCTGTCACCAGAGGCGTGTTCTTTCAGAGGCTGAAATCAATACCTCTAAATGAGAATCAGAGAATCAGAACATCCACCAAACCCAAGAATCGCCCAATAATGCCTCCATTTGACTAACACAAAACAAGACTTTTTTGTTGTTGTTGTTGTTGTTGTTTTCACCTTTGCCTTTTAGTTGCTGTGATTTACATGACAGGTTTCTATCTAATTTTTGTGCAGTTCATGGCGGGAGCACGGGCAGAACAGGAAAAGGTTATAAAAATCCTTGAGCTCTATTTGACAAGTGCCCTTTTCTAGCGTTAATTCTCCACCCTGATGTGAAATTCAGAGCAAGAAAAATATACAAGCTTTGTTATATGACAGCATGGTTACCTAATACAAGAAAACTGCACTGTGATCATTCAAGCTATTATATGATCCAGTGGTGATGCAGCCTAGAAGCAGAAAAAAACATTCTGTTATTTCCATTAAAAAGGGTGCAGAGACACGGGCTCCTTACAGCGCTGGTGCAGCCTTTCATCATCCCAGGTGCCATTATTTCACCAAAGCTCTATTTCATTTTGTGATTGATGGCTCCCTGGCAGTCGTAGCAATCTTGATCAGACTCTGGATGTTTGCAGCAGGCTCTCATAAAGCCTACGATGATATTTCTTAATTCAGAGATCTCTTTTTTTTTTTTCACTCACCATATCTCTTATTTATTTTCTGTCTGTCTCAAACACAGGGCCTGGAGAAAAACAATCGACAATGGACCGGCTGGTTCTGTGCGTGCTGCTGTGTGCAGCTTTGGTGAAGGTATTCATCTGCCCTGGCCACTGCATCTGCCAGCACCTCTCCCCGACCCTGACTCTGCTTTGTGCAAAGAAGGGCTTGCTATTTGTGCCCCCCACCATTGACCGCAAGACCGTTGAGCTGCGACTTACGGACAACTTCATCACCATCATCCGCAAGAAAGACTTTCTCAACATGACCAGTTTGGTCCACCTCACTTTGTCCCGCAACACTATCAGTCAGATTGTACCCAATGCCTTTGTGGGCCTGCGCTCACTACGGGCACTCCACATGGATGGGAACCGGCTCAGTGTTATAAAAAGTGACCACTTTAAGGGACTCATCAACCTACGGCACCTCATCCTGGGAAACAACCAGATCCACCAAGTGGCTCCTACTTCTTTTGATGAGTTTGTTTCCACTATTGAGGACCTGGATTTTTCTAACAATAACTTACGCAGCCTTCCCTGGGAAGCTATAGCCAGAATGGCCAACATTAACACACTCACTTTAGACCACAACTTGATTGATCACATTGAAGCGGGAACTTTTACACTGCTCAGTAAGCTAGTCCGCCTGGACATGACGTCCAACAGGCTGCAGAAGCTGCCGCCAGACAGCCTGTTCCAGCACGCTCAGGTTCTCTCTGACGCCAAGGGCTCCAGCTCATCCACTCTGGCCGTGAGTTTTGGCGGGAACCCACTTCATTGTAACTGTGAGCTGCTGTGGCTGCGCAGGCTGACAAGAGAGGATGATTTGGAGACCTGTGCGTCACCAGAACATCTCATGGACAAATACTTCTGGTCAATCCAGGAGGAGGAGTTCATCTGTGAACCCCCCTTGATCACAAAACATGTTGCCTCTAAGCCCTATGTGATGGAGGGCCAAGGTGTGACTTTAAAATGCAAAGCTGTGGGTGATCCAGACCCGGATATTCACTGGCGGTCACCAGACGGCAAGCTGGTGCACAACAACTCCCGCACCATCCTGTATGATAATGGCACCCTTGATATTCTCATCACCACATTGAAGGACAGCGGGGCATTTAACTGTGTGGCATCCAATGCTGCAGGCATCGCCACGTCTGCTGTTGAGATCAACATGATCCCCTTGCCCTTGTTTGTTAACAACACGGGCCACATGCGTGAGGACCCGGGCCTCTCAGACATCACCACCTCCACCAAGTCTGGCAATGACACAAAAGGATATGACAAGCAGGACAGAAGGGTGGTGGTCACTGAGCTGACCTCCTCCTCGGCTGTGATCCGCTGGCCATCCGAGCGCCACATCCCTGGGATCAGGATGTACCAAATACAGTACAACAGCACAGCGGATGATACTTTGGTGTACAGGTGAGATAGATTAATGTTAGGATAAAAAATAAGACATATAAAGTTGTAATCTCTTGAATAATTCAAAGGTTTGTTTCTGCAGACTGGCAGATCCTAAAGATGAAAAATGATTATTTATAATCAAAACTAAGCAGAACTCCTCTAAAGTAGCCAGAGTTAAACTCTCATGTGGTTTCTAAAGGCATTATGTAAGCACAAATCGTATATAGTACACTTAAAATATTCACATTTTTACTCTCTGAGTGGATTGCAATAAGCAGTTCAATGGATTGCAAGTCGAGTACCCCGAGGGACAAAATGGTCTTGTCAGCATCATTTGTATATAATACAACTACAACAACAGTAACATGAGGTCCAGCTATTTCACTGCGTGTAACTGTTTGTGCCATTAGGAAGTGTCTGCATTAATTGGGGCTGCATGGCGAAGCAGCAGTGAGTTGTTAGGTTACAGGTTCACCTCCTGGCCTGGGGCCTTTATACGTGGAGTTGGCATGTTCTCCCCATGCAGGCATGTGTTCACTCCAGGTACTCTGGTTTCCTCCCTCAGGCCAAAAACATACATGTTAGGTTAATTGGTAACTTTAAATTGTCCCTAGGTGTGTGTGAGTGTGTGAATGGTTGCTTGTTTCATTTGTCTCTACGACTTGTCCAAGGTGTAGCTCACCCATCACTACAGTGCTCGGAAAGGAAAAGCAGGTGCAGAAAATGACTGAATGGATGGATGGTGATCACCTAGAAATAAAGTTAACATATCCCTGATAAACTGCTGACTACAGCTCTTGAATACAAATCTAATTAATTCAGTTTATTTCAATTCTATTATTTTCTATTCTATTTTCAAGTCACAACAGATGTTGTCGCAGGGCGCTGTACAAAAACATTCACATACATTTAAAAAAGCCAGTTAGTAAAGTTATCAAAGAAGCCAGCAGATTGCGTTGAAGCTTCACTTCATTGCAGTCTTGTATCCTGAGCAAGCACAAAAGCAACAGTGGAAAGGAAAAACTCCATTTTAACAGGAAGAAACCTCCAGCAGAACCAGGCACAAGGCGAGCGGCCGTTTGCTTCAACAAGCTGGGGTAGAGAGGATGACGGAAGAAAATTAAAGGCCTACTATTCCTTGAAGGAATTAATATTGCCTAAATTGAAGTAAGACTACTAATGATATGTAGTTTTTTTTCTTCCTTCTTTCGGATGCTCCCTGCATTAGGGGTCGCCACAGTGAACTAAGTCGCACAAAGACTTGGCAGTTATTTTTACGCCGGATGCCCTTCCTGACACAACCACAGACCACCGAGCTACCACAGCCCTCTGTGTGGAGCAGAGAGCTGCTGTCTAGGACACCCGGAGGAGCAGATAGTGGGGGTTATGGGCCTTGCTCAAGGGCCTAGAGTGGGGCGAATGAGGGTGGGAGCAGGTGTGGGTGCTTCACCTACATCACCCACATTTTTGACGTTGTCGGTACCGGGGCTTGAACCGGCGATCTTCCGATCACAGGCCCACCTTCTCTAACCTCTTCACCACCACTCCCACTCATAATATATATAGTAGGACTATATATACTTAT